ACTCCTCCTCCTCCTCCTCCTCCTCCTCCTCCTCCTCCTCCTCCTCCTCCTCCTCCTCCTCCTCCTCCTCCTCCTCCTCCTCCTCCTCCTCCTCCTACTCCTCCTCCTCCTCCTCCAATCTCTTTTCTCGCCCTCCCTCTTCCTCCCCCCCCCCCCCGTCCTCCCCCTTCCTTTCCCACCATCTTCATCTCAGGATGTCCTCATGAGATCTGCTCCTCACTTTCCCTATCGTCCCGGCCCATCATTGTCCCTCCCTCCTTCTCCCTACCTATGGTCTTCGGCGGCAGCAGCTGCAACGAAGAAGGGATCCTGCACAGTCAAGGATGAGGATGAGGGAGAGGAGGCAGGGGGGCAGCAACGAACATTCAAAGGGTGTTCAGTGGACTTCTGCGAGGCAAAAACATCAGACAAGGAGAGGTCAGGTCCGACTCGATCACCATGAAGCTGTCGAAGAGGTTCGAGACTTCCTGCTCCTGAGACAGGCTGCCTGAGTCCTTGTTGGCCTCCACCACTTGCTTCTTCTGCTCCCTTGTCTGGCTCTTTGTCATCTCCTTCATTTCATAGTCAATCAACTCGTTTGCTCCACCCTTTGCTCCATCCTGCCCTCACCTCTGACTTCATGTACATGTCCGACGAGCTCGGAATGGACGACGGCATCTTCCAACATCTCGTCAGAGCCTTCGCACAACGACAAGACTCTGCATGAACGCACAGATCTCTCCGCCTCCTTCTCCTTTTCCTTCTCCGCTGTCTTCGTGCTCTTCTTCTTCTTCTTCTCTGTTCACAACCATCACCAGCTGCTTCACCTCTCCTCCTTTCATCGTCACCGCCCGGCGACTTCGTCACTTGCGCTTCTGTGTTGAGATTTCCTTGGGCGACCACGTTCCTCTTCAGCTGCACCCCAGCTCAGACTTGCCTCCACTCAACCCGCAAACTTCTGTCTCACGTTGTTCCCGGGCCATGCTGGATGGGACGCGTCGATGCGCTCGACACCGAAGACCTGGAGTGACTTGAGCAAGGTAGAGGACAAGGGGAGAGGAGAGTAGGGAGGGAGAAGGCGAGAGAGGAGGGGAGAAAGGAGGGAGCCAGGGTGCCAAAGAAGAGGAGGGGGACAGAGGGGAGAGAAGGAGGAGCGAGAAGGTAAGAGAGGAGGGGAGGGACTGGAGAGACTACGTCTTGCTCTTTCGCTGCCTTCGCTCGCTGAATCAGCCCTAGAGAGGAATCTATGTCATCCCTTTTATCCTCCACCACAAATAAAATCCACCTGGTCCAACCACGTTGCCGTCGGCATCCAATACATCCCTTGCATGCGATTCTTCCACGCTAGCCCCCTTGAGAGGATGGTAAGGCGGCAACTGCCGCTACCTCCTCAGCAGCCGTACCTTGCTCAAGTCCTGGTCTTGCAAGCAATCCAAGTGAATGTGCGTGACCTTGGGGAAAGAAGTCAGTGGAAGACTGTGTGAAAGTCGAGAGAGAACAGTAAACAAATGGCAGTAAGCAACAACACGATCATGTCAGAAATCACATCTCATCCTCGTACCTTTGTATTGATTCCATCCCGCTGTACATGATAGGTTGGCTCTAACGAAGCTCGAACAGTCCTCTGCAAGCTGACCTATCGGACCCAAGGATCGTCACCACCATCGGCATGATCTCTATTCGCATCTTGGCATAAACCTCTCCACCCTCGCTGCCTCCACCTCCCTCATCAATAGAACATTCTCCTTGTCTTACCTTGTACTTCTTCTTTGACTTCCCAACCATACGCACGAACTTCAACTTGACCTGTAGGTGTGGATGAGGCCAGGCTTCCTACTAGAGCGATGATACTACAAACCTGCTGCCCAGGCTCTCCAAGAACAAGAGATGAGATCTCCTGCACGAGAAAATGACCAAGACGACCACAACGGCAAACCTCCACAGAGTCGACAGCTCCACCATCCCGTGCATCACAGGCGCATTCACCATCCAAGAACTCCCCCAGGCAACAAGGACCAGCAATGTTCTCACCGCTATGCTCGCCTTGGCTACCTTGATATCATCCACCTGACAAGCCACCTTGACGAAATTCGCTCAACGTTCACGAGCAGCAGACCTGGGTTAACATGTCTCCGGGCTCTATCAGCCCGCTCTGATCCGCAGCGGATCCTCCGACCAGATCCTGCAAGACAAGGCACAAGATCAATACCTGTCAACAAGGCAGGACTGTGCTGCTCCACCTTCACTATGAGGAATCCCTCATGGTTCTTCCTGAAGATCACCCCCACTCCTGCACAGTTGTCATGCAAGCACATGCTGCCGCTCTCCACATCTCCAAGGGAGGAGGAAGTACCTGCGAGGTCTTTCTTGCCTGGAAATGAAATCAGACCTCTCACAACCTCCCTACTCCTCCCGTTCACCTCTGAGGTGCACAGCTGAGCTTGGCTTTGTGGACCCCTTTGACCCCTGCGCTCCCATCTTCCAGCAAGCTTCTCTGGACTATCCAACCAGCGATCGCAATCACGACGTGAGCATTCTCACATGATCCGAAAAGAGAACGTGTCCATCATCGCAATACTCTCCTTGCTGCTGATCGCTGATATTGGGATATTGAAATATTCCAACTTCCAAAACAAGATCGGGACAACCTATATTCTATCCGCCTTTGTTGTCCGTCTGCATCAAAAGAAAATATGTTACTGGGTCATGGATATTCTGGTCTGATTTGACGGTCATTTTGGTTGTGCGAACTCCTGATCAGGGCTAAAATACTAAGAACGCTTTCGTGGGGTGCAATGATGCTCAGGATCTCCGAAACTCTTCATGCAACAAGCTCCTTGTCGTTTCTTGTTCAATGTCCATGTGACTACCTTGTTCTCGATACTCTCTTGATCCCTTACCACCCACCGCCCTACTATTGAGCGCTTACCTCTTCTATTCTACTCCTTATCGTGATTGTTGGCATGACTATCCTCTCCTCCTCCCTCCTCCTCCTCCTCCTCCCTCCCTCCCCTTCGTCCTAGCTCTACTCTTAATCATCTTCTCCCTCTTCCTCGTCCACCTCAGCTTGCTCCAGGTCTGCATATCAGCTGCCTAGAGTCGCAACCCCTGCCACCTGCCCTGCTGTCGTCCTTGTCGACCATTATCGTAGAGACAGACCACCCCACCGCTACACTACCCCACCCCACTTTTCTAGCATGAAAGTGGCTACCCCACCTGTGTTAAGGAAGATTGCAGTAGTTACTACCCCATCTAATAGCTTGTTGTTGACGACTACCCACCCACTTTTGTCAACCCAACCCCTACCGCATTAGCAATTTATCCGCCCCTTTACCCCAGGGGGTAGTAGAAGCATCACCCCTGACCCCACTCGTTTCAGAGATTACAGCTAGTGACTAAAAGCGTTCTGGTACAGTCTTCTTTACTCATCTATAAGTGTATCACAACTAGCGCCCGAGGACTCAGTGACTGAGTCTCGGAGGTCCGACGGAGCCCGGCCGGCGGCGGCAGCCACCCGGACCTTAGAGAAGTTTTTTACTCAAAGTTTTAAGTTAAATCAGAGACCTTCATACCACATCCCCCGGATATTCTGCAGTGTGGTACTAACCTTTAGTCAACAATTCCCTGTTCGTGTCGGGTCCATTTCATGTCACCCCTGGTACGACCGTGTGGTTGGCGAGCTCCGAGGGATCAGGTCGGTGGTTGGCAGGTTGAGCCTGTGCGTTGAGACCCTTGAGAGACAAGAGCAGCATGTCCGCCATTGCCGCATGGGCGAAGAAGCCCGACTCCGAACAGCTTCCTGACATCAGCCTTGCCACGTTTCTGGTGAAGTTCTACACTCCCATGAACCTCTACAACAAGCTGCGGGAACATTTCGAGACGAGTGACGAGTACTCGACTTTTTTTGCTCAGCCTGAGGACTGTGAGAATTACTCGAGGATAAATCGCTTCTTCTTGCTGATCAACACTATGTTAGCAGTGCTGATTGCCTCGGCTACTGTTCTTGTATCCACGCGTATGGATTCAACATCACTAGTAGGAATCGGATTCATATCGGCTGCTGTCGCTCCATTTTTGAAATTCTTGATGTTGAACCAAGTGATCAAGCACTTGTTTTCTGGTCTAAGCAAAGCTAAGGAGACAGAGTTTTGCCTTGTGCGCAAACTGCGGCCATGTGTCTACGTTCTGCTTATCATCACCTATGCGGTGTCCACATCTCTGGCAGCTTTTTTCCTGTCAAACTTGATTGCTTGCCGACAATTCGAATTTGTACATCTGAATGCTACTTCTTCTCTTCTCGGCTCTACTACCAACCAGACAAACAATAATTCTTCCGAGCTTATCATGGCCTGTGCAACCAAGTCCTTCAAGGAGGCCAAGGAATTATGCACCACCCTCGGAGGAGACATTCCATCCTTCACCACCTCCGAGGCTCAGGATCGATATGTGCGGCTCATGACAAAAAAACTTGGAGAAAACTTCACCATCAACTCCTGGACAACCTCTTTGTCAGACGGGGTCACTGGGCAGGTTTGGACCGTTCATCCACCACCTGACCGTCCTATCGAACCGGGCCACGAGTGCTTTTACGCGCAATACAACATGTTTGCAAAGGAGATCATTTATGACAATGCTTTGTCGTGCGAGGCCCTGTTGCATCCTGCCTGTGAGGTTCCAGAGCTCCCGAGCTCGATAAAGCAAGAGCTGGCAAACTGCATCTGTACGAATAAGCCGACCGACACGGTAGCCATCCTTTTGCTCAACTACTTGATCGGGTTCTTAGGAGGAAACTATCTTGGTTTCTGCTTGACCTTGATCTTTGCCGCTCTCTACTTCCACATCAGGAGAACCAAGAACGCCCATCTGCGCTTTCTCTTGGGCTTTGCACTCGTTTCCGAGTGGGCTCGTTCAGATACCAAAGGCATGCCGGCAATCAATGGTAACGACAAGTTCCATCCCTTCTTCTTCACCCTCGCATTTTGGAAAACGAACCCGGCAAGAACTTGCTACGTTGCTGCGGAAGCTCTTCAGCCAAGGTCGCGGACGATCATGCCATGATGATACCATCGACTCAGCCCCATTCCCATGACAAGAGCCACTTGAATACCGGGGGCCCCGAAGCGCGCCGAAGACTGGGCGGCCCTGCACTGCAGTCACTGGCCGCAGGCCTGCGAGCCGCACGGCCCGCCGGGGCTGCGGCCGCTCCGCGGTGAGGAGTCCGGCGGGACCCCGCGCCGGCGGCCGCCGTTCTCTCTGAGTCCGCCGGGGACAGTGGGCCCACTGGGCCGCCGCCGGGTCACCGGACGGTCCGCCGAGGCGCCGCGCCGTCGGCCCCGGGGTGATCGGACGGGCCGGCCGTGGCCCAGTGGGCGGGCCGCCCATATCATCATATGATAGCCTAGTATCATGCGCGCGCCGCCGCTCACCGGGCGGGGCCCGGCAGTGCCGCCCGCCCGCCGCCGCCGCCCGGCCAACCGGCGGATCGGACGGCCCAGTAACCGGGCGGGGTGACGCCCGGCGGCGCCCGGGCCCGGCCTACTGGGCCTCAGGCTCAGTGCGGCCCCAGCGGCCCGGTGCGGCGTACCGTACGGTACGGGCCCAGTACTAGGCTATGGTACTGATAGTACGGTCACCCGTAGCTTCAAAGTTACTAAGTACGCGGACGGTTACGGTAAGGAGACAGGCTCGGCGGCCGCTCAGGCCGAGTCTCCGCCCGGCTCGCCGGCCCTGATCACCGGTGACCGCCGGGCCGGTCAACTGGCCGCGCAAGCCTCGGGGGCCTCCGAAACTGGCAGTTCCGGGCGACGGTCGAGCCTCCGCGGCTTGCCGGCGCCGGGCCGGCGCCCGCCCGGGCGCAGTGACAGTCACGGTGGCAGTGACTCGGAGTCTCCCGGAGTCCCTGACACACCCTGGCCCGCCACCCGGTGACCGTTTTTAACTTGACTTTGGACGGTACTACCGTAAACTAAACCCAGCAGGCTGTGACCGTCGGGAGCCAGGCCGCCGCCGGAGAGGCCGGCCCGCTTCCCGGCCGGGCCGATAACTTGACTTAGCAACCGTCACCGTCCGTGTTCACTGAAGTTAGCCTGTGATCGGCGGCGGACTCCAAACCGGCGGCTGCCGCTTCCGTTGGTTTTAACTAAACATTTCTTGTACCTGAAACGGTCACTTGCATTTTACCACTACCTACCCCTTTCCCTGTACATCCGTGAACACTACAGGGTCACCCCACCCCCATCTCCAGATCCATTATTCCTGTTCTATGGGGAATATGGCATGGGGGTCCAACAAAGAGGCCATTTTAAAACTTAAAAGCACCCCTACCCTTATTAAAGATTTCAGAACGATCCAAGAGGTAGTAGAGCTCTTATCGGAAAGGTACCCTACCCCCCTGCTTTTTCGTTTACGGCAAACTGGCTTTAATAACAAAATGGAAAATAACGTACCCTAGTACTCATCAATGAAGGGAGTGGCAACCATGAGATCTGAGAGGGGTGGTTATCCTAAATTTGAGGGGTGGTACTTTTGATATGAAACAAGGGGTAGTCAGGATTTACGTGTGTGAATCGAGCATGGGGTAGGGTGAATTGAAAAGTGGTCCGGGCCAATCAAACGGGTAGGTGTATAGATTGAAGAAGTCTTTCAAATAGTTTGAGATAATTTGCGCAAAAACAAACAAAATTTCAAAACGTCGATCACCTTTTCCAACTGTGACCTAAACGCTGCCCTCTTCAGCTGGGGTGGTCAAAATGCGGCAAACAAACTGTGATAGACACTCAGGGGTGGTGCACAGGGCTGGTTCATTGCTCATGGGGGTGGGGTGATCTCGAGTACCGGTGTACTCCAAGCAGGGTGCTCCCTAAAGAGAGTTTCAAAGTCAATTCTGAGGGTGGGTGGTTCAAATGTAGAATTGTGCCACTGTGCTTTCAGAGGGGTCATCACATTCGTGAAAGTTCATCCATTAGGGTGGGTAATTTGCTACTGCACATCTTGGAAATGGAAGGGTGGGTGTTTGACAGCTGTTCGTTATCACGGTAGGGTAGTGCTAGAAAACTCTGGGTAGGGGTGATCTAATCTCTTTGGCGGACACAAAAAGCATGCAGAACCCCCAATTTTACCAGAGTGAAAGAGGGAAAATTGTGGTGGGGTGGTGAAGGTCCCCTACAAGGTCTAGTAAAAAGGACCGGCCTGCAAGGGACCAACAATGAAGGTATATGGGGGGTGGGTAGAGGGTGGACACGGAAGGTACGGGCATGAACAGGATGTTGTTTGGGTGGGTACTGCTCATATGATGGGGTGGGTCATGTTGGGGTCTCCGATAGTAGATGACAGAAGGGATAAGGTTGGGTATCTCGATGGGAAAATGGGGGTGGGGGTAAGGGTTGATCGGATGGTGAGTCAGAGGGCAAGGGTACCAGACATGAGGGGGTAGGAGGTATGGCTCTCACAGACTCGAAGGTGGGAGGATATAGACGATCCTCTATTGCCAGAAGAGAGAAATATGGGTAGTGGAGGGGTATATGAAATCCAGTTAAATACATAGGAGGTACTGTGGAATGGAAAGGGTGGGTCTGGGTAGGTGGCCGTTAAGCGCTCCAAAGCTCCAGCGACCCCCCAATAGGCTGGCAACAATGGCGGAAGGAATGGAGGTACCGGAAGTGGCACGAGCGGTAGGATGCGGAGAAGCGTGATGGAGCAGAGGATGAAGATATCTGCAAAAGACAAGAAAAGAGTTTTTTCAACGTGAATTTCAGAGGTGATTGAGCTCTTCAAGAGGAAATCTGACCGCTCGGACACTGGGGAAAAGTGTTGCGGAAGTGCAGTACGAGTGATTACAAGACATCACAGGGTTCCGGAGCCTTGCTGAACTGTCTAGAAGAAGCCTATTCGAACTAAAACCGGATAGGCTGCACATAACACTTGTTTGGGAAGAAGGAGAGCAGTCTGTGGATACAGCTTCTTGTTAGGGAACGCGAGACAGTGAACAGTCAAGTGAGCGAGCATTGCTATTCATCCTTCAAGGTGCGTACAAGAGAAGTGGGAAAAGATCAAAGTTCTGCATCGGAACCCGTAGATTGAAGCAAGGTAGAGAGGCCGAATTCGGATTGTTGCTGTGAAAGGTGGAATCTCTGTTGGAAGAGTGGGATAAATATCATGATACTTCAGCGGGTTTTGCATCATAGTAAGGTGTGACGTCAGCGTCTAGTAGGAGGTTGAAGTTCGATTCTTTTGAAAGGTTGGCTGTGCATTTTCCACCAAAGATAGAAGAACCTTGCTTGCAAAACCAGCTCTTGACTAGGTGGCAATGTCTTCTTCACAAAAGAGAATCACTGTGCAGAGCTTGGAGCCAGACGGTGCGAGAGTAACAGCGCTATGCGGGTCCTCGCTGCAAGAGACCAAGGAACTTATTGGAGTCAAGCTTGGTTTCCCGAGGCCCTCCACTTGCCGCCTCTTCAACAAGCATGGCGCTGAGATCGATCATTTGGACTTGGTCATTCACGACGACCTTTTGTACGTCTCAGCTGGCAGTGATCCTGTGATATCCAAGAATTCATCGAAACCTGTGAACTCGCAGATCCCAAGGACTGCATCTACTTTGGCACCCTTCGGAGCCTCGACGATCGATGGTATGGATCATGCTTCCACTGATGAAGGCAAGAGCGACTACTTTGAGATTGGCAAGGTTCTTGGAACCGGCGGGCAGGGCACGACCTACTTGGCGACGGATAAAAGGACTGGACAGCAGACAGTGTTGAAGCAGATTTATTGTTCTGGGCTTCAAGAAACTAACAAGGCGATTGAAGAGGCGATGATGCTCTCTCGGCTGAAACACAGGCACGTTGTATCTTACAACGAAGTATTTCTTGGTTCAGACCTCACTAAGGGTAATTATGTCGGGATTGTTATGGAGTTCTGTTCCGGGGGCGATCTTTATCAAATGCTGTGTCGTCAGAGAAGCAAGAAGAAGCCGATCAGCGTGCGGAGGGTGAAAATGTGGATCTTGCAACTTTGTGAAGCCCTCAAGTATCTGCACTCTCAGAAGGTCATCCATCGTGACGTCAAGCCTATGAACGTGTTGCTAGATGCAGAAGGAGATCTGAAGATAGCTGACTTTGGTCTTGCAAGACATGGGGTCACTCAAAGCAAGCTCGCGATGACCCAGTGCGGCACCCCAGGGTACGAGAGCCCGGAAGTTCAGATGGGCCACGGCTATGATTTCAAGACGGACATCTGGGGGCTAGGATGTGTTGTGTGTGACATGGCAACACTGAAGTTCATGCATGAGAGACCAGGGTCCTTGGCGACTCAAGTTCAAGTCGACCCGAAGGCGATTGTCAAGGTCATACAGCCGGTGATGGACTTGTATGGGCCAGACATTCATTCGCTTCTTTCTTCGATGCTGCAACCTGATCCAAAGAAGAGGCCATCGGCGGCTGAGATTGTCGAATACAAATTCTTGAAGCCATCGCCCGCAGCGGAGGCTGAGCCTGTGCTCGTCAAAGGCCCTGGATCCTCGCCCCCTCCAGCTCCTCGTCGCTTGACAGGGCAGAGGGGAAGTCCTACGGAACAACCGGATGCTCAGAGGTTGACAGCAGAACCGATGGGGGCAGGGGCAAACTACGAGCACAGCATGTCACCGGCTACTCGCCTTCCTAGACGCTCGGACGACAGCAGTGACTCCAGCATTTCGAACCGGTTTGCGAACATTCGCACGTCAGACACACTTTATGTGTCGAAGAGACCAGGCAGAGATCAGTTTGGAAGCATCTCACAAGCACTCAGGGCAGCCAGTGATGGGATGACCATCGAGATCATGGAGGGCAAGTATCAGGAGGAGCTGTTCATTGACAAGGCAATCACGCTGCAGGCGAGTCAAACAGCGTCGGGCTACTGCCGAGTTGAGATTCAAGGAGTGACGGTGAGGCCTGTTGTGGTCTGCAATGCATCAGGGGCTCTCGTCAAGGGACTTTCGCTCATCCATCTCTCGCAAATCTCACAGGAGGGAAGGGACTGCACGCGCTGCATCGATGTGGCAGGAGGGTCACTGATCCTCGAGGAGTGCGATGTGACAAGCGTGTGCGGGGTGGGGATAGTGATCAGGGATGGAGCCAGGCTGTCTTCTTACAGGTGCAGGGTGAACAGGTGTGGTCAAAACGGATTCTTCCTGTTTGGCAAGGGAGGAGCTTTGATTGATGGGTGTGACATCTGTGAAAACGCGTTCCCCGGTGTTGGAATGGACGACAGTGTAGATACGATTGTGAGGAGATGCAGGATCAGGCATGGCAAGGGAGACGGGATCAAAATCTACGGGGGCTTAGGCATACAGATCCAGAAGAATGACATCAGCCACAATGGGCAGGTGGGGATATCGATCGAGGACGGTGCAGACCCTGTGGTGAGGGAAAACAGCATCCACGACGGGAACAGCTGCGGGATCTCTGTGCTCAAGGGAGGAAAGGGGACAATAGAAGACAACGACATCTACTGCAACGCTCACCCCAACGTCTATGTGGCTAACAGCGCAGACCCGCTGATCCGGGGGAACCAAATCCACCACAGCGGAAGCTGCGGGGTGACGTGCGTGGAAGAAGGGCTGGGAACGATCGAGGAGAACGACATTTACTGCAACCAGTCGGTTGGGCTGTACATCATGAACCGAGCGAATCCTGTGGTGAGGAACAACACGATCCGGGAGAGCGAGGGGGACGGGATCTCTGTGTGCTTTGCTGGGCGAGGCCTGATAGACGGGAACACGATTCGGGCCAACGCTGGGATCGGGCTGCTCATCGAGAGCGAGGCTGAGCCGCGGGTGACGAAGAACCAGATCCTCGAGTCGCACTCAGATGGGATCAAGGTCTCGCACAACGGCAAAGGGTACATCGAGTCCAACACGGTGATAAGGGCTGGGCACGGGGCTGGTGCTGGGTCAGGGATCTGTATCACAATGGGGTCAGCGCCTGTGGTGAAGAACAATCTGGTGAAGGACTGCCTGCAGCACGGGGTGCTGATAACGGACGAGTCTGCTGGGATCATCGAGAGGAACACGATCTCCGGCCACCAGGGCAACGGCATTGCAATCCTACGGAGAGCGAACCCGATCGTGAGAGGCAACGTGGTGAGGGAGAACAAGGGCGCCGGTGTCTTCGTGTCGCAGGCCGGGCGAGGGATGGTCAGCGACAACCGTCTCTCGTACAACAGAGGGCAGAGCCAGCTGCTGGTAGAGCCGGGCTGCGACGCAACGGTGAGGGACAACATCGTATCTTAAGCTAGGTATGACAAGGTTGGTGAACATAAATGTGAATCATCTCGTAGCCGCTGCTGTCTCTTGATCTCTAGGTCGACAGACCCACAACCTGCTCTCATGCCGTCCTCCCTCGCTTCAGGGATACCGTGAAAATGCGGCCATCCTCCCTTCATGCCCATCAAAACTCGTGAGAAGTTACGACGAAGGCAACTGCATGCACCTCTTCTTGAACGAGCAGGTCACTTGTGATCCAGGAGGTCCCAGGAGCCGCTCAGCCAACTGAAAGTCGGTCGACTCGTCAGTGGTTGGGGTGGGGAGACGGAGTGGGGAGGGAGGAAGGAAGGAAGTGAGAAGTAGACAGAGCGAGAGAAGAGGGAGAGGGGTTACCTCTGCTAGACTGATTCCTTCTACGCTCTTCCCTTCCACAGCAACGATGATATCACCAACGCTGATGTCATTGCAAACATCGGCAGGGCTTCCTTTCAAGAAAGTCTACCAGCCAAGTGAGAAGTCCTGGGTGCAGCAGCGATTGTACCTTGATCTCTAAGACTTCCACGTCATTATCCATGCCTCGCTTGAAGTAGGCGCCGATGCCCACCTTCTCCAGGCTGTTGCTCTGTGGTAACGTAAAGAGAAGGAGTGTACGGCAATGAGTCGAGAGGAGAAGATTGAGTAGATAGGAGAAGATCCCAACTATCCAAACTCACGCTAGATGTTCTCTGGGCGGTGCCGAGCTTGATGTTCTTCTGTGACTGGAGGACAAGCGCATTCAACTCGATCGAGCGCTGCGTTTAGACGGGTCTTACCTTGGGCGAGTCAACTGGCTGCGACCAGTCAAAGTCAGCGAGACAGCGAGGCAGGGCAGCAAGTCCTTATGTCTCACCGAGTCTCGATCAGCCCCGGGCCAGGAGCTCCTCGCGTTCTCAGTCGCTGGGATCCTCTTGGAGCTCGTTGACGTGCGCTTAGACTCGCAGCTGAGGCAACTCTGCACCTCCCCCATCCTCCTCTCGACTTCCTCTTCACGACGACTCGGAGTAACCTGTGCGCTGGGAAGAGAGCAGCGCTCCTGGAGCAGCCAAAGTTCAGTCCCCGCGCGCACATGAGCTCCTGCTGCCCCTTGTCTCCCCTCCCTGTCTCAGGCCTCGCACTGGCCATGACCACGTTTCAATGGAGTTTTCTTCTCCGCAGTGTGGCAAACATCTGCCCGGCTCAGTCCTCCCTCCGACCCTCTCAGCTCCTCTCTGATCGTGTCTTAGCCTGGAAGTTCAGGGACGGTCACCCGTTTCCCCTACCTCCCCATCTCTCTCCCTCTTCAAGTTGAATGTTCACCTCCCTCAGTCCTCCCCGATCTCTTCCTGTCTCTCTTGCCCTCAGTCTCTTCCTGGAGTCCCGGCTCTCTCCCTCTCCTCCTCAGGCTCCCACTCCCTGCCTCTCAGTATGATTCAGGCCTCCCTGGGCCTTCCTTGCCGGGCGAGTCCGATCTCCCGGGTCTTCCTCTCCCTCTTCCTCTCCCTCCGAGCCACCCATTCTTCTCTCTCTCCCTCTCCCTCTCACTTCCCCATTCTTCTCTCTCCCTGCTCTTCAAGTTGTCAGAGTCTCTCTCTCTCTCCTTCTTCCGAGACGAGTACGGTCATCGTCAGCCTCAGTGTCGTCGCTGGCGTTTTTCGCGGCACAGTCAAATGTCCGTTACATCCCGTTGTACTACCGTACGGCGGCAGATCCGTTCGGGCATCCCCCGCGCACTGAGCCTCCGATGATTCACCGGGCCGGAGTCCCGCCGGGCCGCTGAGTGGCGGCCCGGGCCGGGCGCGCGCCATCACAGTGAGCCCCGGCTATAGTCAATCTTCAAGGATTCACACACTATGAAACATGCTCCATTCATAGATGGCCTATAGTCAAAGACTACTTTCACTACGCCACTTGAAATGTAATATGTGTATAATTCAGATTATTTCAAATTTACTCAGGAAGATTGAAGTACCGACTGCAATCTTGAAATGAGTCTTTTAGAACACGTCGAGGAAAGCGTGGAACGACTCTTGAGTACCGGTTATGTTCCCATACTTAGCACCGGTCAATTTTATAGTACCCTACCCCTATGTTCAAGTGAAAAGAGCCAACAAGTTTGTTGAGAGGGAGGTTTCAGTACTGATATCTTAAAACAAAAACAAGAACTGTTGAATTGGCGATCTTCCTACAAGACTTGCAAAGCGAGCGGCCTCCAGCATGGCGGTGAGATCCCGTTCCGACCCTCCTCCCCCTCCTCCCTTCCCCCATTCCTTCCACTCCTCCTCATCATCTCTTCCTTGCTGCTACCTCTCTCTCTCTCACCCTCGGTCCCATCATCTCACCACATCTCCTGCTCTCCTGCCTCCTTGAGCTCCATCCCTGCTCCGCGCTTCTTTCCTCTGCAAATTTTGCTGCTCCCTCACGCTTCCCTCTCGCGTCTCCTTCTTCCTCTCAACAACATCTGACTCTCACAAGACTTGTATTCTACATCAAACCCTTTGTCCTCTACCTCCCCGTGTCGTCGCCGCTCATCGACTCTCCTCTCCTCTCTGAACAGTCCATGAGTTTTCGTTCATCTGTATCTTGTTTTCGAGTAGGGTTTTCCTCCTTGATTGTTGTTGAACAGGTCAGCAGGGCATGAAGTTTCGTGTGCTTGTGTACCAGCAGGACGTCCGTCAGCCAGTTGAATTCTGATCACATGCTGCAAATCTAAGAGTCAAGTTTTCTCGACCCGTCTGCAACCTCTACCATGAGATCGTCTTGTTTGGCCTTGTCCTTGCTCGCTCTGATTCCTCTCTGTCATGCCTTCGTCGGCAACACTCTCTCCTTGCGATCTGCTAGCGCTGCAGCTCTCAAGCATCAACTGCCTCACTCTACGTCTCTTGCCTTCCCCCAACCTCGACCCGCCTGCCGGGCGAAGAAATCGACCTCTCCTCATATGGCTATCAGCGTTCTCGGTGCTCTGACGGCTCCTCTTGTCGCCGTTGCTGCTCTAGGCACGCTGGACGGCTTCGGCAAGCTGCTCATCAACCTGCCGAGGATTATCGAGTATCAGTTCAGGTACGCAAACAGGATTATGCAGCGGGGGAACGGCTGTCAGCCCACGGAGGCGATCGACGTGCTGCGGATCAAGTTGGACGAGAGCAAGGAGTACCGGTTCAACGCGCTGAAGCTCTTCGTCAAGTACGACACGGATGAGGACGGGAAGCTGAGCATCGACGACTTGAATCGCTGCTTGAAGAACGAGTTCCCGCAGGGGGTAACGGACGGCATGATCAGCTCGCTGGTAGATGCTATGGACTCGGACAAGGACTCGCAAATCGACTGCTATGAGTTCCTGAGCGCCGTCAGCGGATCCTCGAAGAATGCTGACAAACTCCTGCAGGAGGTAATCCTCCCCTCATACCCTCCCCCCCTCCCTCCACCTTCCTCCTTGCTCTCCTCGTCATCCTCCCTCTCTTTCTCCATCCCTCCCTCTGGTCTTCTTCCTCTCTCTCTCCTCTCTCCCTCATTCCCTCCTGTTCCTCCTCCTTACTATCTTGTGCTTCATCCTCCTTGTTGCATCGATTCTACCTCCTTTCGTGCTGACCCCAGCTCGACAGGCCCGAGAGTCTCAGCTGGACTCGGCGTACGAGGAGTGCAAGAAACTAACGAGCGAGTACGCCAAGACGTTCTTCCTCGCGACTCTCGCCATGGAGCCGCTGCAGGCCAAGGCCACGTGGGCGATCTACGCCTGGTGCCGGCGAGTCGACGAGATTGTGGATGGACCAAAGGCTGATCCGAACCCGGAGACGCAGAGGAAGCTGCTGGAGGAGTGGATGGCGCGGCTGGACAGCATGTGGAGCGACAGGGGAGGGCAGGCGGGTCTTGACTCGTTCGACTTGGCGTTCAAGGACATGCTGCAGCAGTACCCGGGGAGCGACATCGAGCCTTACCGAGACATGATCCGGGGCATGCAAATGGACATCGACGACAGGCGGTACGAGACGTGGGAAGAGCTGTACCTCTACTGCTACCGCGTCGCTGCTACTGTTGGGCTGATGACGCTGCCTGTCATGGGAACGGCCAAGGGAGTGGGAGTCGACGACGCTCGCACGCCTGCTGTGGCGCTAGGGATCGCGCTGCAGATCACCAACATCCTGAGGGATGTCGGGGAGGATGCGCGGGACAGAGGGAGGATCTACTTGCCGATCGAGGACCTGAAGAGATTCGGAGTGACGGAGGTGAGAGGAGAGAGAGGGGAGGGGAGGCAGGAACGAAGGATGGGCAGTGGAAGGAGCGAGAGTGGGAGGAAGAAGGCTGAGACGGGGGAGGGAGAAAGAGGACAGAGGACGGAGGGAGGAGGGAGAAAGAGGACAGAGGACGGAGGGAGGAGGGAGAAAGAGGACAGAGGACGGAGGGAGGAAGGAGTGGGGAGAGGAGGTCCGGTCCGCTGACAACATGGCAGGAGAGCATCTTCGAGAGGAGCCGGAACGGTGGAGCGGTGGACGAGAATTACAGAAACCTGATGAAGTTCGAGATCGCGAGGGCGAGACAGTACTACAAGGAGGCGGAGGAGGGGATTGCTCTGTTGGCTCCGGGGGCTCAGGTGGGTTGAGAGGAGGGGAACTGAGGGAGGACGAGGAAGGAGGGAGGGGGAGGAGGAGGAGGAGGAGGAGGAGGAGGAGACATCTGGTTGATGGGGAGGAAAGAGGGAGAGAAGATGGCAAGAAGTGAGCACGTGAGGGAGCTACTGTTGAGGGGCAGAGCGCAGAGGTGAAGGGAGAGGATGGAGGACGAAGGAGAAGGAGGGACAGGAGAAAGAGGTGGTGGCGGTGGTGGTAGTGGAGGAGAAGCAGCAGCAGCAGCGGATCTGACGCCTTGCCACAGCTGCCGGTCGCAGTGGCTGCCGAGCTCTACAAGGGAATTCTGGATGAGTTGGAGAAGAACGACTACGACAACTTCAACAAGCGAGCTTTCCTTTCCCGAGAACAGGTATGACCCCTCCCCTCCAACCCTTCCTCTCCCCTACCCCTCTTGCCTCCCTGATCGCTTCCTCAGAAATTGCTCGCGGTTCCTCCTCTGTGGCTCAAGACGATCACTGGCGGTTGGGAGAAAGAGCGGAAGGAAGTAGAGGACAAAGAGAGGGCTCAGGCCGAAGTTTGAGGAGGAGGAAGAGGAGGAAGAGGAGGAGAAGGAAGAGGAGGAGAAGGAAGAAGGAAGAGCAGAGGGAAGGATACACTTTCTTATGCACAAGTTATATCTTACAACAACATATGTTCGAACTTCATCTCTCACCTCCATCCTCTCATTATCATCCTCTCCATCATCATCTCCATCATCATCACCCAACAACAACATTCACGACAATTACAATTTCGCCATATCTAGATTACACGAGGGGCGGCACTTGCGATGTTTCCTGTCGCCTCCTCCCGCTATTTCTCGCACTTGGTGTCAAAAAGGCAGCAGGGAGCGCGCAGAAAGCGCTTGGCGAAGCACTGGTGGGGATTAAGCTCTGGGCGCAGACATTCCGTGTGCTGCAGCTTACAGGAGACCGAAAGGTTCCCCTCCTCATCGAGAAAGGAGGAGAGCTCGACCTGCCGATCGTGATGAGGGTTGAGGACGGGAGGATGCTGAAGACGAAGTGGGAAGGGAGGGAGGGAAGGAGGGAGGGAGGGAAGGAGGGAGGGAGGGAGGAGGAGGCCGAGGAGATGGTGGTGGAGGAGGGGGGCATGGAAGTGGGAGAGAAAGAGAGGTGGCGGAGGTGGAAGAAGAGGAGGGAAGGGGAACGTACGATGGCAGACACGTGCTGCAGGTAAATCTCTCCCGGCCGCTCAAAGGGAGGAACAGCTGACGTCTTGGTCGCAACCCATCCCGTCTCTTTGGTCCTTGTAATGTGACACCTGCGAGTGCCTGAGGAAGAGGAGGAAGTGGAAGCAGGGAGGCAGGGAATGGGGACGAGCAGGAACAGGAGCAGGAGCAGGAGCAGGAGCAGGAGCAGGAGCAGGAGCAGGAGCAGGAGCAGGAGCAGGAGCAGGAGCAGGAGCAGCAGGAGCAGCAGGAGCAGCAGGAGCAGGATCTCTTACGCTGTTGATCGCGGGGCGTCACACGTGACATTGAGAGCAGCCGTCAGCGTCTGGAAGTAGGTCGTACGAACTAGAAAGCGCCAGAATGTGCCGTCTGTGACCTGAAGCCTGGAAGAGAGAGCGTGAAGAGCAGACAGACGAGATGAAAGGAGGAGGAGAAAAGAACAGGCGGAGCAGGATATGCAGGAGGAGGAGGAGGAGGAGGAGGAGGAGGAGGAGGAGGAGGAGGAGGAGGAGTAGTGCGAGGAGGAGGAGGAGGAGGAGGAGTAGT